TTTTTTAGCAAAATAAAATGTGTAATCCTATGTTGCTCTCAATAATTTTATTTCTAAATTTCAGTTTGCAAGTAAAATACAAAATTCTGGAAACCATGGCTCTATACAAGTTTTAGACCCATTTAAGATGAGCACAGATTCCAATGTGTGCATGTTATTCCAGTTCTGGGATTTTAAATTATCTCATATACACACATGCACATTATTATAACATTAACATAAATTTCATCTTAAATATTACTATTAAATAATTTAAAATTTAAATATTAGATATTCAGTAAATTGTTTACCTAGTCATTCCCATGATGTTTTGTATTGGATCTACTCCTTTACTATTATGCATATGTCTATCCAAGTTAACTTTCTTTCTCCTGTTATGGTTTGCTCCTACAGGACATGGTTCCTGTCTTATTTGTTCCCAAAAGATACAGTTCCTGCCTACTGCTGCAATAACAGAGATATCAAAAGTGGGAGGCTTTAACAAACAATTTTATTTTCTCACAGTTTATGAGGCTAGACATCTGAATTCAGTGTGCTGGCTCTACGTCAAGTCCTTTTCTCTCTGTGGACTCTGGAGGAAAGTTTTTGTTGCCTGTCTCTGGGCTTCTGCTCTTGGGCAGTCTTCAAGTGGCCTGTCATCTCTCCTCCCAGTCTCTGTTTAAGATACAGCCTATACAAATCCTGCCCTCATTCATGTAACAAAGACAAACCCATTCCCAAACAGGATTTTAAGACCTCAGGCATAGAGGTTAGGGTTTATAACAAGTATTCTTGTGGAATACAATTCAACCCATAACCATCCCCAACAGGGAATTTATAGGTCAATGGCAATGCATGATTCCATTTGACAGTTAGTTACTATATGTCAGTAGATTGTATAAAAAGACAGTATGCAGCAGCTTCGTCACTGTCATTTCTTAACATATAAGAGCTTAACCAATAATAACTTTCATTGCTTCTGATAATTTGATAAACAGAGTTGCTTGAATTTTCATTTTTTCAACTGCCAGGTAGGAGATGCTGTTCCTTGCAATGATATTTTGTTAGAATTTCCTACATTCACCCTGTTGACTATTTTCAGTGGGAACTTTGGATACTGACCTTTAGCATCTCAGTTCTTTATATTTTGGATGATAACCACGTAACCTGTTAAACTGCTCCAATTATTTTCACCCATGCTGTGGCACTCCATTTAATATTTATTCTATTGCCTTTGGCTGGGCTATTTTTCTTTTACTCTTTAGATAGCCAGGCACATCTGTCTTGTCTATGATGATTTCTCCATTGCTTCAGTGACCCTAAGGTTATCTCCACTCTACAGCTGGAATTTAAAACTATTCCATTTTCCTCTCATTCTTTCATGGAGAAATACTTGGTATTCTGCAATTCATATACTTTTCAAATGGCAGAACTTTCTGGTACCAGTGAAATTTCCTTAGATAGTTTCCACAGTGGATTTCTTCATAGCATAAAATGCCAGACATCATAAAACAGCAAGCCTCTTCCAGTCAAGAGAGCAGACAGTCACGAGATCCAATTACCAACATTTCCAACTCTCTGTCACAGGGGTTCTACATCCAACACCAATGTTGGCACATGCATCTCAACAGACTTTCTAACAATGGGTTTTTCAGCAAGAAAGGTCATCAGTATACAAAAGCAATCACCTGAAGTTTTACACAGTTTCCCGAAAGTACAAAAAAACACAGCAAAATGGCTATGAAGATATGTTGCCTAATTGTTTTCCAAAGTGAAACGACATGGGACATTTCAATGTTTCTCCCCTCTAAGATGATAAAGAAAAAGAAACATATATGTAATCATTCACAAAGTTTAGCTCATACTGATCAATTTTATTTATCGCTAAGAGGTGGAAATGACTCAACAGCACTTAATAACAACAACATATAAGCAAGCAGGGAGCGTAGTGGCTCTGTGTGATAATAAGCACTGTACTGCAAATCACAAAGTCAGCGGGTTGAGCCCAGCAGCTGCTCCATGGGAAAAAGATGAGGCTTTCTGCTCCCACAAAGATTTACAGTCTCAGAAACCCTATACAGAGTTGCTATGAGTCAGAACAGAAGAGATGGAACCAACTAGATGGCACCAAACAACAACAGCATATGTGCAAGCGCATGTATGCAAAAAAAAAAAAAGAAGAAGAAGTAAATTCACTGAACTTTAACAATCATCTATGGACTACAAAGTCGTTTCGAACCACAGGATCGGTGGTTCAAGTTCACCAGTCTCTCCTTGGAAAACCTATACAGGGTTGCTAAGGGACGGAACCAACTCCATAGCACTTGACAACAATAACAATGGGAGACAGGATTACAACTATTTTTCTTCCTTGTACTTTTACAATATAAACTTATATGATATATATAATTAAACATTTTTTATATACAAAGAGCATACACACGTGAGGGGGCTTCAAAATGTTAGTAGAAAAATTCCATTATCAATTAATTCCATTTTCCATGAACTTTTTTGAAACTCCCTCCTCTGTGTATGTATGTGCATTTTAAAATTTGAACTTAAAAAAACAATGGTAGTAGAAAAGATTTTGACATTATATATAACCATTGGTACTAAACTTAAATACTCAATTTTATTAAAGCTGCTAACTCACTGTACATAAACCACCTCCGTTTTCACTCCTTGTTAAGTGGCAACACTACCATCATCATTCCTAACAGTAGGATTAAGAAATTCATTACAACACAATAAAATGCATTTGAGACTCATTATAAACTTTCAACTTCCTTTTTCAAAGTACTTGAAAAACATCTGCAATGAGGTCTACAGAGAAGGGATAGAATGACATTGTGGTTACATTTTGTTTTTCAATTCCTACCTGTTAAATCATTACATTCAGTGGCAATGATGACATGACACAATGCTTACGATTTCTTTAAAATGCTCTAACAAAAAAAATTTTTAAAGGGGTAAGTTGGAGAAAAATAAATGAAACAAGAACAGCAGAAAGTAAAAATTGCTGAGGTTGGGAGAAGGGTACATTATACAATTCTATTTTGGTGCAGATTGTGTTTGGAGATTTTTCATAACAGTGTCTTGAAAAGTTGCCTTGAAAAGTGACCAGCAATAAGCATATCAAACAATGCAACAAAATTAAGCTAATAGTCAAACTCTTTTTTTTTTTTTTTAATGCCGAAGTGAGTACTTCAAAATGAACATTCTACCTACAATTGAACATTTCAGAAGCCTTTCTTTGTACCTTTTCTTTATTACACAATAGACAGCATGTGCAAGCATAAACCTATCAAGAAAGAAATGCCTTTCATAACCATGTACAGATTGATTCAAAAGATTTTTCAGTTTTCTGTCCTTGCAGACCAAGAAAGTCAGTCAAGACAGCATTATCAAAACCTGGCCCCAGATAAAAAAAAGCAACAACAACAACAAAAAAAAAACCAGTGAAATTCTTCTGCGTAGAACAGAGGAAGGGCTCTGCTACTTCCTCTAAGGGAACAATAAGTGATCTGTATATAAGTCAGGTGGTGGTGGTTATTTGTGCCGTGGAGTCGATTCCGATTCATAGCACCCCTGTACAGGGTTTCCAAGGCTGTAAATTTTTATGAGAGCAGCAAGCCTCATCTTTCTCCTGCGGAAGAGCTGGTAGTTTTGAACTGCTGACCTTGTGGTTCACAGCCCAATTTGTAACCACTAAGCTACCAGAGCTCCTTGTATATAAGTCTACTGCAGGTCAAAATAACCTTAGCACTCGACAGTAGTCAGGCAACCACCCCCAGCATTATTTATTTAGTCTATAGTGTGGCGCTGCAAGATAATGCACAGGACAAGGCCGGTTGCCGGTTTAAACCTCAAGGTTGGTGGTTCAAACTTACCAGCTGCTCTATGTAGGGTAGCTTTGTATCGGAATTGACTTGACGGCATTTAGCCAAAACAACAATTCTCAAATTATAGTTACAAATATGAACACTAAAGATCACATCATCATTTGTGAAGCCCCAAACTGATGGGTCCCACTGTATGAAGTGTAAAAATAAAACATAACCCTACATCACATTCATAAGGTACATCTAGATCAAGGGTTTTCCCGTGCATTGCCATGAGTGATCCATGCATGACAGCTGAGAAAGAGATTTAAAAATGAAAAACCACCCCCCACCCCCCACATCCCCCCTTGCTAGGAACTGATTCTGACTCGGCAACCCAGTGGGATGGAGTGGAACTGCCTCATAAGGCTTCCAAAACTGTAATCTGCATGGAAGCAGACTACCACATATTTCTCCCACATCTGTGGGTTCAAATCACTGGCCTTTTTGGGTTAGCCACTTAGCACTTTAATGTTAACCACTGTGCCACAGGACCTCTGAGATACCAAGGCCTGGGTCATTTCCATTTTACAGATGCAGAAACATATGTAGAGGTTCACAACTGTCCAAAGACCAGTTCTTAAGACAACAGAGTCTTCTGACTCCAAGCAGAGTGTCCTTTTTTTTATTTTGTAACTATCATCAGTATTCTTGAATGTGTCTGTGATAGTGAGAAGAAAAGTAAAACATTTCAGCAGGAAAGGTAAACAGAGTGGGGACCAGTATCTGGTCTAACACTTCCTGCCCTTCCAAACATTCCTAAATGCCTTCCTAATTATTTTGTACTGACTTTGCCATATCTAATTATATACTTCTATTTACATCCATTTGTGTGTGTGTGTGTGTGTGTGTGTGTATATGTGTGGGCTTGGTAACAACTTGCTGAACCTAAGAAACAGAAACACTTTTTTTTTAAACCAGGAGGGACTGCCATGGCTGTTTGACCCTCCCTCTTCATAAATGATCAGTATGAGGCAAAGGAAGAGAGAAGTTGGCAGAGCAACAGCCAAGGTCCCACCTCCCATGGACCACTTAACCTAGTAGGAGAGCATAGCCTACCTCTCTGACTTCGTGAAGTTGGCCGGAAATCTGACTCTTGGCTCTTCGGGCAGCTGCAGGCGACTTGTGATGCGTGATTGTGACAACACCGGGGGCCCCCACAATGAGGTGTCTCTGGCTACAGGGAGATGCAGAATTGGGTGTTCCATGGGGGAGCAAAGTGAGACTTCGGCTTCGGGAGCTTGGAGTACTCTAGAATAAGCAACAGGCATCAAAACTCAACAACTGACCTGCAGAACATGACTAAGTGTTGGTTTCCATTTGTTTTGGACCTCTCTATCTTTCCCCTTCATCATTCTGGAGGGATAAAGGCATGGAAGACATACCATACTAATACTACATGCCCAATGCTCAAATCCTATTAATACCTGCTTGAGAAAGGTAATTTTCACTAACCATCCTTCTGATGTCATTAACAATTTTGTCTTTCCAAACATATGTCCTATACTATGGCTATGAAGACTTACTCAAAGTTTCCCCTGAACACTACAGACTGACATGAATTGGTGCCTCTGTGTATGGTCTCACTCCCCTCCCTACAGTGCGCTTCCCCTCCTGGTTGGCAAGTTTATGTTGAGCCATCAATGATCCATTCAGTTGTCCCTGATCTGTGATGCTTATATCCCGAACTCCTCAGTCTCCACTGTTCTTGTATGAATACTACTGCATCAAGATTCTGTTTATGTTCTTACTCATTTTTATATCCCCAAGCTTGGTACGCAGTGCTTAATTGATTGTGCCTAATAAATGTTTGCAAAATTAATACAAAAGTTAGCCACCAATTCATCTTGATTTTTAAGTACAATGTTTATATTTCATCCTATAATATATCACCCATGTTATGATACAAGGTCAAACAGTATTGTTAAAAAAATCATAGAAATCTTTACTGAACAAAATTATCAAAATGTGAAGCTCTTGTTTCTTCATCTATCCTGCATCAAGGTCTATACACTTCTAAAGACACTGTTTCCACCTCTCTAACCCTTTCCTTTCCCTTGGTGAAACCAGAGAATACCAGAAAGATGTTTACCTGTGCTTTACTGATTACGCAAAGGTTTTCGATTGTGTGGATCATGACAAGCTATGGACAACATTGCAAAATATGATATTCCTGAACACTTAATTGTGCTCATGAGGAATCAGTACATGGACCAAGAGGTAGCTGTTTGAACAGAACATGGGAACACTGAGTGGTTTAAAAGTAAGAAAGGTGTGTGACAGGGTTGTATTTTTTTCACCATACTTATTCAACCTGTATGCTGAGCAAATAATTCGAGAAGCTGGGTTCTATGAAGAAAAACGTGGCATCAGGATTGAAGACTCATTAACAACCTGAGATATGCAGATGATACAACCCTGCTTGCTGAAAGTGAAGAAGACTTAAAATATTTACTGATGAAGATCAAAGAGCACAGCCTTCAGTAAGGATGGTATCATATGCATGCGAAAGCTGGACAATGAATAAGGAAGACCGTAGAAGAATTGATGCATTTGAGTTATGGTGTTGGAGGAGAATATTGAAAGTGCCATGGGCTGCCAAAAGAATCAACAGATCT